TGCAGATGCTGCTCTCACGCGGCGCCGACGCCAACGCCGCGGACTCGTACGTAGAGACCTCCCTGCACTACGCGGCTAGCTATTGCCAGCTGGACATCATGCGCCTGCTACTGAAGGCCGGCGCACATCCAAACGCCGCAGACTCGGACGGAGAGACCTCCCTGCACTACGCGGCTAGCTATTGCCAGCTGGACATCATGCGCCTGCTACTGAAGGCCGGCGCACATCCAAACGCCGCAGACTCGGATGGAGAGACCTCCCTGTACCACGCGGCAAACTGTGGCCATCCTGGCCAGCTGGACATCATGCGCCTGCTACTGGAGGCCGGCGCGGATCCAAACGCTGCGAACTCGTACAGACAGACCGCCCTGTACTATCCGGCTTGCTGTGGCCGCCTGGAGACCGCGCGTCTGCTACTGGAGGCCGGCGCAGACCCAAACGTCGCCGAGAATAGGAGCGGGGAGACGCCGCTGGTAAATGTGGCGAGGTCGGGCTATGAAGCGATGATGCAGATGCTGCTCTCACACGGCGCCGAAGCCAACGCCGTGGACTGTTACGGACGGACCTCCCTGTACTACGCGGCTTGCGTTTCCCAGGGGGACATCATGTACCTGCTACTGGATGGCTACGACGGGCCGGAAGAAAAGGAGCGTATGACCGAGTCGATCTGCACCATAAAACGAATTCGAACCGAGGTAAAACTACGGGCGTACGTTGCGAATGATTGAAACCGAATTTTAGCAATGACCTAATGTATTTTCTTCTAGATGGTAAAGGTAATCAGTAATAGTAATCGGTTAACAGTTAATAATAGATATGTTATAGTTTCACCGCATTACACTACTCCTGCATTCTACTCGGGGCCGAGGTGAAACTGCGGGCGTGCGTTGTGAACGACGGAGACAATTTTAGCGATGTTCCAATGTATTTTTGTCTAGATAATACAGGTAATCAGTAATAGTAATCGGTTAATAGTTAATAATTTAATAATAGTAATAGTTAGTAATCGGCAACAGTAATAAAGGTAGTATGAACTTGTTCTTTAATAAACGAACCTAAAATCGGGTTGTTAACGATCCTCGTTTCTTTCGTTCACACAGATGATTACTGACCTCTTGAAACACGGAGCTGACCCGAACCTCGTCGATCGTAACAAGAGGACGCCGCTCGCTATAATAGGCAGCAAGGCGGAGGTGAGAAGCCCCGACATAAGTGAGTGTGTATCAGACGAAGAACTACCAGAAGCAGTAGAGTCAGTGGTACAATCGGGGTCAGTTCTCCTACAGACGTGCGAGTCCGCCGGCGTACCTCTACAGGTTAACACACGCGACAGCGAGGGCGACACCCCGCTGCACAGCTTCTGTAGGGCGATGCTCGCATGCAAAGACAATGTTTACGCCCCAGAGAGGGAGGGGTGCGTGCAGATAGTGCACGCGCTGCTGTTCAACCACGGTGCACACGTCGACGTGGTGAACGCACGGGGAGAAACGCCGTACGAAGTCTGGCGCCGGATTCACCCGACGCGTTTCCTCGGCAACGTGGAGTCGATGAGCAACGAGATAGATGGCAGAATGAGCGTCCAGTATCATTTGCTGCAGTGCCACTGCGCACGCGTTATCGTCAGACACAACGTTGCATACGAGAACAGGCTGCCTCCGAGTCTCATAGAATTTGTCAGGGTACACGCTAGACCAATGTAGGCGACACTAAGCGTGTTAACCGAGGAAGCCCATGTAGGATCGGAGATGCGATAACGCAGAAGATATTATCAATACTTGGTAGATCTATGTTCTAATTGTTACACGTGTTGACAGACGTGTTTCATTGCAATGTAAAATCGAGTATATGTAGTAACACTATTCAGTTTATATAGAAATATGAAGATTATCGGTATGATGCCTTGATGAATTGGCGCGATTTAATAACCACGAGTACAAATGTTAAACGTTTGCAAATCATTTTGCTCTGTAAAAAACTCTAAAGACTTAGTTGGGTTGTGAATATTAAAAAAATAAAAAAATAAAACATAACTATTTTACCATGAAATGTATGCAATTCGGAAAGTACATATTACCACCAGAATCACATATTTGATGTGCTCCTGCTACCACACACCACCAATCTCTCTCTCTCTCTCTCTCTCTCTCTCTCTCTCTCCCTCTCTCTCTCGCTTTCTCTCTCAGAAATCTGCATGATTCAGTTTTTTCAGTCCGTATTGCACGCCTCAAACGGTTCTAGCGCATGCGCAATATCTGCCGAGAAGAATAATATTTTGCAAACATTATGCATTTCAAGTGAACAAGAGGTTTTCTATCATAAATTTATATGATAACATTCCATCGGTAGATCTGACTTAAAAATATGGAAGAAGATCTTGCATGTAAGGTCCCCGCTGCAGATACTAGTCATTACACAATCTCGCTACGTTAGTGTGTTAACGCATGCGCAATATCTCAACAGAGGAGTTATATTTTGAGATGAATATGCATTTAATATGGTCAGGGCGTATCTCAGCATAGATTTATGTACAAAATTATTATCAGTACACCTGTGTTTATAATTAGGAGAGCGCCCTAGCCTGTAGGCTGCAAAACTCATACTTCATCCCCTCCCATTCGTTCCTCTTGCCTCCCTTGTTCATCGCCTAGTCCCCTTCTTCTTCTACTCCCTCAACCATCTTCCCTGCCGTTTGTCATCAGTCGCCCACCTCTCTCTCTCTCTCTCTCTCCCCCCTCTCTCTCTCTCGCTCTCTCTTTCTCTCTCTCTCTCTTAGCAATCTGCATGATGCAGTTTTTTCAGTCTATATTGCACGCCTCAAACGGTTTTAGCGCATGCGCAATATCTCCCGAGAAGAATAATATTTTGCAAACATTATGCATTTAAAGTGAACAGGAGGTTTCCTATCATAGATTTATATGATAACATTCCATCAGTAGATCTGACTTAAGAATTTGGAAGAAGATATTGCATGTTAGTTCCTCGCAGCATATACCAGTCAGTACACAATCTGGCTACGTTAGTGTGTTAACGCATGCGCAATATCTCACCAGAGAAGTAATATTTTGAGATGAATATGCATTTAATATGCTTAGAGGGTATCTCAGCATAGATTTATGTACAAAATTATTATCAGTACAACTGTGTTTATAATTAGGAGAGCGCCCTAGCCTGTAGGCCGCAAAACTCATACTTCATCCCCTCCCATTCGTTCCTCTTGCCTTCCTTGTTCATCGCCTAGTCCCCTTCTTCTTCTACTCCCTCAACCATCTTCCCTGCCGTTTGTCATCACTCGCCCCCCTCTCTCTCTCTCTCTCTCTCTCTCTCGCTCTCTCTCTCTCTCACTCTCTCTCTCTCTCTCTCAGAAATCTGCATGATGCAGT